AAACTCTAAACCAAGACTCGAGGACAGAGAGATTTGATCTCTCGTTTGTTGGTTTATCGGGGTGAGAATCGTCAGAAATCGGGAGACGCGAATTTTTTCTTCTAGATCTATTTCGATTTTGAAAAAAACCAGCGTCTGATCCATGCTTGGGGTGAAGAGAGGATTCAAATGGTGTATTTTTCTTCCTTTTCCGATGCCGGCAAGCGACGATCAGAGCCTATTGAAGGTGACTGTCGCGACAGCGAAACGATGGCCGACCACTGGGTTATAAAAGGAGTGACGTCGGGGAGTGTGGATAAGGTTTTCAAAGAATGAACTTTTTTAAAATCGACTAGAATCAAGAGAGAAGTGCTCACTAGAAAATATCCACTTAGGAAAGGGAAAAAATTAACTAGGGGAAAAAAACTGGGAGAGGTGTTCCAGCCAAAGATAAGACTATTGATTGAGCACCAGGTATTAAATACAAATTCAAAATGTATAGCAAGTTTCGAAGTCCAAACCTTATAGATATCTTCTGGGGATTTAGGCTCCATAACCTCGATATCACGAACAAGGGTGAGATAACTTTCACTTAATTTAGTATTGTTGATGATATCTTGCAAAGCTTCTCTGTCATCATCATCTGCAACCATCTCATCATCAAGCTCAAAAGTGATTCCCTGCAAAAAAAAGAATAAATAAATAAAGAAAAAACGTCTTATGAATCAAACACAGGCACATTCACTCCCACTCATACGTGATACACAAACTAACAAGACTAGAGAAATTTAGGGCCATCAAAGCCAAATTTTGTATATGAGAAAAGAATAGAAGTGAGGCGACCAGAACCAGAAGGAAATATAAATCAAATAGCTTGTGTGGCAACAAATAGTTACAACAGCAATATAGCAAAAGCAAGCATGTCGAGCAAGAATATAGCAAAACTGCATCTTTAGCTGATCATCACAAGATGTAAACACCTGTCTCATATGCTGCAAGAGCACACAATAAATTATTACGAATAATAAAATACATAAATCAATTCAATACTGTTCCTAAGACAAAGTTTCTCAACAATGTTGCATGGCATGAAAAGAGAGAAAGATAATAGAAAACAAACCTGCATGTTGTCAAGGGACAGTGCAATTTGAAGTGCACTTGCGAATTCCTCAAATTTCATATATATCGTGTATGCAATATCCACTACTAACCTGATAAGGAAGGTATCTGCAAAATAATTTGCAGCATGGAATGTTATCAAAGCCTTAGGGGAAAGCAAGAGAACTCAACATCCTTTGTTATGGAACTGTCATCAAACATTTAATTGTAAATTTTAGTTCAGTAATTTTGGACTACAAATTTCAATGCATTATTGTTTGCGCTAAACAAGTATCCCAAAGCTTTTAAACTCCATACCTAGCAGCACTGGTTAGGTATAGACAAGTTCTCTTGAAATTTGTTTTATCAACATGCTCAAGTAAAAGATCAAGATCCTCCACCTGCATGCAGTTAGGCAAAAAACACATGTTTCAAGCTCGATAACAAGAGAAGGGTATCGAGATAGAAACTTTGAGAGAAAATGTTGTGGTACCTCCATCAAGAGATCAACAGCTTCAGGTTCAGCATTGTGCTCCATCAATAGTGCAGAAGTTTCAGAAACAGGACACCAACATAATTTTTTAAAAGAAAATTTCTGCAAAAAATCAATTGCGTTTTACATATGCCAAGGAGAGAGCTATACCTTCATGTGAAAAGAAACAATTTGTTGCACAAGCTCCATTAGATCTTCAATTGGAGCCTCTTCACTCTCTATTAGCAACAAAAGAAATACAATTAAAAAGCAGATTAACTTCTCAGTTCTCGCCATTACAGAGAACCCTAAGGTGCTGAAGTCATAGAAACTATTATATGTCTAAAGGTTCCTTAAGACTTCTAACCTGTCGCTTGATATACTCTTGTGAAATTTCTCCTGCCAAGTTCCTAACAACAAATGATAAGTGAGCGACAACCAAATAGAGGACCTTGAAACTAACTAACATACCAACAGAAAAATTTTTAAGGGATGATCATTATCTAAAATTGTTCACAAGTTTGATTGGATATAGTTAATGAAGAACTGGTAATATAAAATTTCCAGGAAAATATGAGTAAATCAGTATGTTATCCAAGTCGGAAAACACTCACCTCACATATTCGTGACCCCATGAACCAATGTCACCTTCTGAACCCAACAATCTGTACTTCAAACTCTCCTTTAGGATTATCAAATCAAAACTAGATCTCAAAACAACAGGGGATAAAAAATCGAAACAAACAAACTATGTGAATTTCACACTTAAGTGTTCCAGAAAATAAAATAAAAAACGGAAGTTACCCGCTCACCCTCTGCAGACATGGTCAGTGCCAACACAGACAGGATATCAGCCAGGTATTTCTGCAAACAAGTTAAAATAATTTAGTAATGCAGAACATAAGGAGAAAAATAAATATCTAAGAATAAAAAGACTTTAAACTGAGAACCCTGATTCTTTAAATAATGGCTAATTGTAATCAGAAGGAATGTTTGCTTCTGCCTAAACCTAATTAATAAGCAATAACCTAAATAACCCAAAATTTTATATAGATTACTATTTATCCAAACTATTTAGAAAAAATATTCACAACACGCCTATAGAAATAAAGCATCCATCTAAAACATCCTTACCTCAATTGCTTATTGCCCAAATAGATCATACTCATAAAAGATGTGATGGAAAAGAATCAAAGCAAAACTAATACCTTCATATCAGAATCCCGCATTGTCTCATAAAAAGATTTCAGGGTTCCGTAATGAGGACGGAGAAACTTCAATGGCTTGGGAACAGAAGTCATGGAGCTTGTCGAGGTGCGGGTTTCATGCCTACAAAGAATATTAAATCAAACCATAAAAAAATAAGATGCATTCAAGCATTGAAACTAAACCCGTCAATGGATACTCCCACTAACTGTAAAACCAATAAACAAGCCCTAATTTGATTCAGTCGCCTCATGCTCTCAAGAACTACTTTCTGTAGTCCGGGATCAGAATCCTGAACTCTCTCTACATATAACTCCAACTGTTGCTTCGAAGCCAAATCCTCCTCCGACTGCGTATATAAGGGGAAAAAAACTAATTTAGAAAATGATTCAACATTTTCAACAGAAACCCAAATCCAGAACGGCTACTCACCAGATCCTCCTCCCCTTTCTTCTTTGGATCCTTAGCCGGAGCCTTCGGCTGGGAAGTGCCGGCGTCGTTCTTCGGATCCGACATCGTAATTAGGATTGCTTATCGGGTTTTGCTTTATGGATTTCTGGGGAGAAGTCTATGAAGAAAAGAACAACAAATAGGATTTGTTGTTATTATTTATATATATATAGTTTTTAAAATTAATTTCTCCCCAAGCAATCCAGTGTCTCCTTTTCATTAAACAAAAGCTGAAAATAAATGGGAACTTGGATCAGGCCCATCCGGACTTATAACCGGATTATCATTTTTAAAGCCCATTTAAAATATATGGATCGAAACATTGGATCAGCTTCGGCTTAGATAAGACAATAGGCTGGTTAATTATTTAGTCCAATATTGCATAAGATATTTTATCTTGAGATCTACGACATTTGTTATAGTGGCTTTACACTTATCACGTCGACGTAATGAGTTTTAATAAAAAAAATATTATTTGGACTAATTCGTCATGTGGGTGTGACGAGTTTGCTTTATAAAGTAGCATTTATGGTAGATCCCAAATTAATTTTATAGATGACCTAATGAGCTAATTTTTTTTACCCGCATGGCCTATTGAGCTAATTTTGCCCTCACATAACTTGTTACTAAAAAGATCCAAACTAGATACTTAAAACTATTGAATAAGAAACTTTTATTTCGATTTGAGAATATAGAAGTTACAAAATGATCCTTTAATTATAAAAAAATTGTTTTGTTAAATCTATAGATTATTAAAATTAATAAAATAGTCACATGTCTATTCATTATGTTCTAAACTCGTCATTTTTTGTTAAAAAAATTGATGGTATTATGAGTTGAACGTTAACATGATGACTGAGATATGATAGCCATTTTTCTAACGAAAAAGGATGAGTTTGCAATATGATGAACAGTCGGGTGATGAACAGTCGGGTGACTACTTATAACTTTTAATAGTTGATGGACTTAATAAAATAATATCCTATAATTGAGGGACCATATGTGTATTTTACCCTATAAAATATTGAATCAAAATCCATTTGATGTGCAACTTGCTAAATTTATGAGCCGATGCTTGTGAGTGTGAATAATAAAAAGCATAAATAAATAAATAATTGTGGATTAGTCTTAACAAGGGTGAAGGTCACAAGGTCAGCCTCTGCCGTGTCAACTTTGGTAGCCCAAAACGTTGGATTTTACGATAGTTGACATGCATCAATGAGGTCCCCTTTGCCTTTTGTGGTCATCCCCATGTCTCCTTTCGTTTTCGTTCCTTCATAGTTTCTGTTTTCGCCCGGGTCCCCCTTTATACATGTTTACGATCCAGTCGAGGTGAACTTTAATTTATTTTTAATATATATTATTTATTTCTAATTATCTAACGTATTTAAAGAATAATGTCGCTAGAATCAAACAGTTTCAATAGTTAAAAGGATGATTATTATCTTATAGATTTTAGATTTAAATATTAGTCACTACATGATATTCTAATGTTTATTTTAAAATGATTGAGAATCACTTGTAATCACCTTATCTATTAATAAAACAATTATGTCATTAAAAACATTAATTTTCATTTTAATTTGTTAAACAATTTATGAAACAAAACCTTAGTTAACTAAAATTAATTTATCTGAATTAACATTATTTTTTTATAATAACAAAAAAATATGTCAAGGATCACTATTCTTGTGGATAACCAATGAAGATTTCATATCAAACATAATTCCAAATACATAATCTCATTCATAAAACCATTGCAAAATATGGTTTTCATTACCGGACATGCATCGGTAACCTTAATTAATAGAGATGTCCTCGCAAGGGAACAAAACAACAACCAAGTTGCACCGCAACTTCAGCCGGAAAAAGAAACGAAGGATTAGATTTTTTACATTAATTTAACGTGTGATGTCGTCGGATTTTAGGGTTTTAGTCATCGGCGGAGTAGTAAGCTGGTCAAGCACAAGAGGGCGGTATCTTGTGGACTCCTTGACGCTGTAGCTCAGCCAAAACACCGTCGGTCGAGGGCGGTTTTAACCCGATCGGAAGCGGCAGTGACGGTTTCGATAAAACGTCTCCGATGGCTGCATCGATGCTCTCTTTCGTCTGTTTCACAACGTCATGTATAAATATAAAGATTGTTGCATCTTATAATTTAAAAAATCTATAACTACTAACCGGATGAAAGTCGAGGCGAGGGTGGCGACCTAATTGTACGTCGGGGGCGCCGATGCCGGTGTCTGCTTTGTATATTGCATGGTGGGGAGGAATGCCCGGAACTGGTACTGCACCATATCTCTGCATGTAAATTAAGCACCAAAACTCGCTGAATTAATAACATAATCATTTAATTACAGATAATGCAATATATACAAGTATATATATAGGAAGACAAACAAGAAGAATGAAAAAAAGTAATGAGTGATTATTGGTTTACCGTTGGCGCCGCCGTCAGTGGCGGTGCATAGCAAGGTGTTCCCAGGGCTTGTCCATTTGGAACCTAATGAATAAAAAATCACCACTTTTAGAAGATAAAACTTATATATATATTTGTAATTTGCACTTGTAAAAAAGGGGGTAAGAGCTTACACGGCCGTGCTGCCAAAATCCGGGCTCTGCCGGAGGCGGAGGGCCCCAAGTAGGCTGTGGCGGCGGTGGAGGGGACGTTACGTGTGGCGCTAGATGTTTTGGCCATAAGTGGATTAATGATCGATCCATGGTTGGATGACCCCATACATGCAAAGGCCTAAAATGGTGGTTTTGGTGGTGCACGGGCGGAAATCCCATCGTAGGTGGAAGGCAAAGGTTCATATCTTGCTTGGCTCCTCCACTTGCCGGCGTAGCTTCGCCGTAGACTTGCCTCCTGTGGATCCAAATTGCGGCCTCCGCCTCACGAGCTAGTAAATGTTTCCGATGAGATCTATATTTCTGACAAATTTAACAACGAATTCTTAAAATTATGATCAATGAAATGCATGAAAAAAAACAAAATTATTGTTATTTTTCCAATAATTAATTAAGAAAAAAAAAGGAAATTAATGGTTATATTATTTACTTGGAGATGGCTGGCGATGTTATGGCGAGTGAGACAGTCGATCCCCATAATCTCTAAAATTCTCGACGGCACCGCCTTATTGACCCCGAGCTGCTCCACCGCTTGCACGAATCTCCGGTGAAGCTCCGGCGTCCAATCCACCTTCAAAAAATTCAAAAGATAATTACCTCCATGGAATACGTATTTTCTTATACATCAGAACAAATTCGATTTAATTTGACTATAAATTTAATAAAATTTAAATGACAATTCTACATGGAAATAAAAAATCTAAGTTGAAATATTATTTACCTTCACTTTTCGAGTGCCTTGATTGTTGTTGTTATTCTTTGCTTTTGATGATGATTTTCTTCCCTTATAACCATCTTTGGAAGGTGCTTTAACTACTTTAGGGTTCTCCCTTTTGTTAAGATTCTCGTTCTTCGAACTCGAAACTTTATTTTCTTCTTCTTTCTTTCGATTATCGTCTTCATCAGTTTTTCTCATCATGTTCATCTCCAATTCCTCGCCACTGCTAGTGGCAGGGAATTCGGCAAGCAATTCGGGATCCATCTCCAAATCCGGCAACACGTCGCCTTCGACGTCGATGCCTAGCAAAAGATCTTCAAAATCGATACTCTCGTGTAAGTTCCCTCCAGCGAAATTCGGGAACTCTTCGGAACTGAAAGTAAAACTCTCCGTCTCTCCTTTGCTTTCATCTTTGCTTGTGTTCCTCAAAGGCGACACAGCCAGCATTAATTCTATCTTTTCGCTTCCCGCTCAAAAGACTGAACAAAAAACTGCAAATGATAGAAAATATCAACCCAGAATATATATATTATTGCATGAAAACTGGTGTAGACTTTGTGGCTAAGTCAATCAAAGTGTTAATAGAAATGGGATTTTTTTAAAAAAAAAGAACCTTTCCGGTTAGCTGATGAACGGAGATGGAGAGAAAAAGGAAGTCGATAAATTTAATAAGTTGGTGTGGGGCTTATTGGCTGTTTGTTTACCGTGAAAATCTGGAAACTGAATGTGGAAAAGATGAGATATACGCCACAACTTGGAGTGAGAGATCTCTTTTGCATTTGTTTGTTTCTATATATTATTTTTGTTCGTATGTGGAGTATTTGCTTGAACATTACCAATTACTCATCTTCTATCATTGATTTTGTTATATTTTCGAAAAGATCAGTCCCACTAATTACAACCAATAAAATTCGAATAACTATAATAATTTAATTATATCCTAAGAGAATCTTTAATTTTATAACCCAAAATTTTCAAAGCTTCTCAAATTTATAATTAAACAATGAAATCGAAAACACCATGCATTGATAGACGGTAAGAATGGATTAATTTTAATTTATTATCATCTTAACATATAAGATGGTATAAATTTTAAATAAATGTAAATGAATAACATCTTTTGTTATAAGGGTTAAAAAAATCAGATAAAGCTTCAATAGTAAAATTACCAAGGGTCAAACTTCATCTTGTGTTTTTTAATTGGGCTAGCATAGTAAATCAAATGACATTAAATTTAATTTAAAATATTATAATAATTATTTTATCAAATAATTTTTAATGGAGTTGACGTGACTTAATTCGATCATATATTTTGGTAATTCAAAATATATAAGGGTTGGTCAGTCGCTTTTCTTCTTTTTGTATTATTGAACTACAATATTTGTCTCTTCACGAGTAAATTAAAATGCACATGTTTTCTAAGATTTTTATGTTCATGCACTTACAAATAGTATTTTCATCGGTATTATATTCCTTAAGCAAGGTTAGATGTTCAAGTTTTGAATTTTGTAAATGAAACAAATTGAGTTTAGAGGGTCTTCATCATCTACGCAGTATCCGATCCAAATTAATTAACTAGTAGATCAAATAATTATACAAAAGTATTTTTAAATATTCTGCATATTTTATGATTTATGATTCTCAAAATAATATTATTTTGAGAATTTAAATTTAAAATATTTAGTTAGAGATATACTAATATAACTTATTAATATATGGGTAAACAACACATTTAATATCATAACTATTATTTTATTATGTTTTGGTCAATCAACTATAATTTTAAAAAAAACGTTATGTTTTGGTTTCATTTTGGTTATCTTATGTTTTACAAATCAACATAACTATTGATGTGATATTGTTTAAAAAAATTCAGTAATGACATGGTATCATCATATGATGACACATCTGCGTCACCGTTAATTTTTTAACGGTGAGTGACCAAAATAAAACAAAAGTGATAATTAAATTATTAAACTTATAATTTACCCTTAATATATCTAATAGTTATTAATAAATTGTTATATAAAAATTACAGGGACGAATAAAACTATTTTAATTTTATATAAATGTAAATAAACGGCTCTAATTATAAAATCATGTGAAAATAACGACCACGATTTAAACTTGTAGTGTACTTTCCTTTGCTAGTGTTTTGTCCCTTTCGTTTTGTGGTATTGCAGTCGGTGTGCTTTCTTTTTCTTGAAATTTAGTCAAAATAATTAAAAATTATTTTTATAAGAAAAATAAATTATTAGAAAAAATATATTTTTCATCACACTAATATTTATAAATAATATTATCATATCACTATCACATGTTGTTGAAGTATAGTGAGGATGTTGGGTGCATGTTGAGCAAGTCAGTTAGGATTGTTGTGTGCATATTGAGCAAATCAGTTAGGTTGTCGGTTATGAGGTTGTTAGGTGACTGTTGGGAGACTATTAGAGTGGTGATCATCTCTCGGTTGCTATACGAGGTCATGTAGAGCAACAGGGTGTGTTGTCAGTTGTTGAGCTAATTCCTAGTGGTACTTCTAAGATTCTTGAAGATGTTTCAGATCATCCTTCTTCTCAGAATGGACATCCAATGGTCACTCGTAGTAAACGAGGGATTTTTAAACCAAAGTTATTTGTTGCTAAAAACAAGTGAGTGATAGTGAGCCTTGCACAATTGGTCAATCACTTCAAAATCAATGGAAGGAATCATTTCTTGCTGAGTATGATGCTCTTGTGAAGAATGGTACGTGGATGCTTGAGCCACTGCCAGGAGGGCGAACAACAGTTGGTTGTAAATAGTTGTTCAAGGTCAAGTATAATGTTGATGGGTATGTCTTAAGGTACGAGGCTCGTCTTGTGGCGAGAGGATACTCTCAGGTGCCCGACCATGATTTCAAAGATACTTTTAGTCCAGTGATGAAGACTACCACAATGAATGTTGTGTTGTCGTTAGTTGTAACTCATGGGTGGAGTTTGAGACAGGTTGATATCAATAACGCGTTCCCCGGTGGTGATCTTGGAGAAGACGTGTATATGGTGCAACCACCGAGGTTTGAACGTGTGGCTAGTGATGGATCTCGATTGGTTTATAGGTTGAAGAAGGCGTTGTATGGATTGCGACAAGCCCCGCGCATGTGGTAGTCCAAGCTGCGTCAGTTTTTGTTGGAGCTTGGGTTTCATGGCACTTCAGCTAATGCATATTTGTTTATTCGTCGAGGTGATGGAGGTCGTACGTTTGTTTTGGTGTATGTAGATGATATTATCATCACATGTGACTCTCGTGATGCTATTGATGGTGTAGTTCGATTGCTTGGACATAAGTTTTCTTTGAAAGATTTGGGTGAGCTTGGGTATTTTCTTGGCGTTGAAGTTCAACAAACAACTGAGCAACTGGTTTTGAATCAGAGTAAGTTTGTTCTAGAGTTGTTGGAGCGAACATGTATGATTAGTTCTAAGCCTGCACCTACACCGATAGTGGTGTCACCCAAGTTGACATGTGATGATAGGAAGCCACTTGCAGATGCGTTGATGCATTATAGTATTATTGGGTCATTGTTGTATTTGAGCCACACAAGACCAGATATAGCATTTAATGTTAATCGTTTGGCTCAGTATATGTATCGTCCTTGTGATGGTCATTGGTTTACTGTGAAGAGAATTTTGCGTTACTTGAATGAAACAATTGATCATGGTTTGGTGTTCCGATCATCAGTTGTCTCTGAAGCTTGCTGTGTTACTGCTTTTGTCTATACTAATTGGGTCAGTAATGTAGATAATCGTCGGTCAGTGTCTGGGTCGTGTGTATTCCTTGGGTGTAATATGGTTTGATGGAGTGCTAGACAACAAAAGACGGTGGCTCGGTCAACAACTGAGGTCGAATATCACAGCATTACTGATACGGTGTCTGAAGTAGTTTGGGTCAAGTCTTTGTTAACAGATATGGGTGAGTTGGTGTCTACAACTTCGGTTATGTAGAGTGACAACACGAGTGCCATTGCGATGAGTGCTAATCCAATGTTTCATGCCCGTTCTAAGCATATTGAGTTGGATCTGTACTTTATGCGGGAAAAAATGGCTTGTGGAGCTGTTCAGGTGAATTATGTGCCTGCAGAGTACCAAGTAGCAGACGGGTTGACTAAACCCTTGCTGAAGTCTGCTCATGTTTTGTTTCGACAAAAAGTTCAAGTTACTGAAGCTGAAAAAAAGACAACTGAAAGGGACAAGGAGAATGTTGAAGTATAGTGAGGATGTTGCGTGCATGCTGAGCAAGTCAGTTAAGATTGTTGCATGCATGTTGAGCAAATCAGTTAGTCAGTCGGTTATGAGGCTATTAGGAGACTGTTAGGATGTTGTTAGAGTAGCTATGTTGTTGTTCATGCAGTTAGAATGTTTATGCAATTGTTAGAGTCTTATTACTTGTATATATATATATATATATATATATATTTTGTGATAGTTCTTGAATGAATAAGTAAGGTTAATGAGTATTCAGAAAACTATTCTATACGTCATTTACTTGAACGTTTAACACATGTATAAATTATTTATAAAATAATTTATAGTATATATAATTTTATATGCTTATTTATAAATAGCCAAAGTAATAATTTAACCATAAACTTGATTATTAGATTTTTTTTTAATAATTTTATATGCATATTTATAAATAATTTAGACGACGGCGGCAATGCGCAAGAAGCCCCCTTGTACTCTATCACTCAACAAGGGAGTGGAGAATGTAAACCTTAAATACTCAATCCCAATATATTTCCCACTCAATGTGGGATTGAGCATTACCAACGTTCCCCTACTAATACGAAAGAATTCTTCTGAAACTCAAAAACGATCTTTCCAAAAGAGCAAAAGTGAGATTAGTTGCTTAAGCACTAGTGAACGTATCTTGAACTAGTACATAGTGATGATGAGCGATAATTCTCTTAGATAAGTGAAACTAGTCTTGAATTTTCTAAGATAAGGATAAACTCATAACACACAACTAATCCCTTCATCCACCTAAGTCCTCGATGTGTAAGATATATATATATATATATATATATATGTATATTTGGTCATCTGACCTTAAGATTCTAGTAAGTGTACTAGAAAAAATTACCTATCATTTTTCATAGAAGGTGGTTAATCCTTCTCATTTACTACAACTAGAGTATTGATATTATCCACTCAGTATGATCAGTTTCGACCTGATTAAGGTTCGTAAGAGCTTAGGATGGTCCGTAAGGTTAAGACTTAGTCCGAGAGAGACGTAAATGGCCAAAGGGGCCTAGAGACACTCGTGGGAGTATGTTACATCCAAAGTAACCACAAAAAGCGTAACGCATCCAAATATATTCATTGATGGCGTAATCAGACATACATGGATGGAGGATCAGTGTATAGGGTATACTGATGAGAGGTACGACTAGGTAATCAGATTATGTGACAACAGTGTCATATACAGCAAGAGTGATCGAGAATGTTGGACGTTCAGATATTCTTTTAATTCAAGGATGGATTAAAGTAAAGCTTAGGATTAGCGAATAGAGCATCGCTACCCAAAAACGAACCCGAGCCAGGTACCGAGTCAATCAAAACCCTTTTCTGTAAGCAATAATCATTGTGAAGTCTCAAATCGTGTGGAGACTTTATCAGAGTTAGAGAATGAATAAAATATCCTCTATTAGTGTATAACCAGATCAATAAAGATAATCAGTAATAACTTAGTAACAGCTAGAACAGTAACAAAAATAGAAACAATAAT